GTAAACAGATTATTTTTAGTGTTTTTGTGAAAATACAATATGTGAGTGATGAACCTGAATATTTAAATGATTTGTGCGGAAAGTATTGAAGGTCTGACCTGGTTTCTTTTTTGGGAAAACATTGCCCTTGTACTGTCTTTCATGCCTTTTTTGTTTCTTTATTAAAATTAGACTTGATATTTTAATATTTATAAACTTGTAACTGATGGGATTTTGGAGTATGGGGTCCTTGGGTTCACTCTGGGAAAGGTTTCACCAGAGATCCCCATTTCAGCAACATGAGCCAGTTTTCCAGTGAGTTTCTCTACGAGACAGAAACAGTAGTTCTATTTAAAGAGCAGGTTTATTAGAAAAGGGATAGGACAGTAAAAGACACTTGTATAGACACCAGCGGCAGGAAGAGGTGCCCCAGAAGGGACAAGTTTGCTGAGAGGCCTGCATAGTTGCAGGTGGACGGCCTTGAGAACAGCTGCTTCTGCTAAGGGAGGTCAGCAAAGAGAAGTCCAGGCATGGTACCTGTCACAGGCGGGCAGGAGGCTGCTGCCCTATAGAGGGAGAGAGTTGGTGAAAGGAAACACCTGCAAAGTCATAGGTGAGCTGAGGGACTGCTGCCTCCAGGTGGGGCCAGCATCATGTTTTACGTCTTTTGGTAGGGAGAGACTCATCTTTCTGAGTGGTTGGTTTGTGCTCTTATAGCAGTCTGATATTTTCTGGGTGTTGCGCCTCCTGATCTGGGCGTTGATGCCTAAGTTTGGCCTAAGTTGGTTTTTGCCTAAGTTTTTGCCTAAGTTTGATGCCTAAGTTGATGCCTAAGTTGGTTTTTCTGTAACTGGGTTAATGGCTCTGCTAATCCTATCTACCCCTACCTCCTTGTGTGAGTCAATTTCTTGACCTTGTATCTCCTTTCCAGTTTTTCAATTCTTACTCTCCAACATAAGCCATATGAAGGAAGGAAGAGAAGTTATGATTTGAGAGTTTTGAAAACAGGTGTGATAGGAAATTATGATTGTTGGCTCTATATTTAGAGAGATTTCTTACGAGTACATTATATGCTGTAGTTTCTGTTATTTATTTATTTTTCACTGATAGGGTGAGCTTGATAGTGCCCTTTTTATTTTTTTTAAGGTTTATTTATTTATGTATACAGAAACCAGGGTACAGACCAGAGGTGTGGAGGGGTGAGAGTTCACCAGAGACAGAATGGGGAAAAGAACAGGAGGAATGACTGAAAAACACTGCTGAGGGGAGCAGCGGGCTAGTCAGGAGAGGTCTGCTGTACCATGTGGGTTACTCCCTGGCCGGGGATCAAACTCGTGCTGCAGTGGCTGCGGATAGCTTCATAGGTTGTGTCTTAACCCCTTGTGCCACCAGGGAGGCCTGGCTCTAGGTTGTTTTGTTGTTGTTTGTTTTTTTTAGTTACTGCTTAGAATCATTTAGAACTATAGGGAATAAAAAATGTGGGTTCCATGTTAATGTTGAGTAAAAACATACTATTTCACTTTTTACTGGTAACTTTTGAGTACACTTTACGTCCATGTTTATCATGGCGTTGGAGGAAAAGAGATTCAAGGTCAAGAACCTGACTCCAACAAGGAAGTAGAGATAGAGGGGATTAGCGTAAGCCATTAACTCAGTTATAGAAACCACGATCTTTAGGCATCAATGCCTAGACCAGGAGGCGCAACACCCAAAATCTACTAGACTGCTATAGGGAATGTTAGGAGCACAAACCATCCTCCAACAAAGATGAGTCCTTTCCTAAAGATGATAAAACCCCTAACTCTACCCCCAGAACAGGGCAGCAATGCCTCTGCCCACCTGTGACTATGCAGGTACTTCTTTTCACCAACTATCTCCCTCTGTAGGGCAGCAGCTTCCTGCCTGCCTGTTACCTGTACCTGTCAGGACTTTTGCTCACTGACCTCCCTCAGCAGAGGCAGCTCTCCTCAGGGCCGTCCACCTGCAACCATACCAGCCTCTCTCAACAAACTTGTCTCTTTGGGGGCATTTATTCCTACCTGCTTGTGTCTATGCAAGTGTCCTTTATTCTTATGTCCATTTTCCTAATAAACCTGCTCTTTAAATATAACACCACTTCTGTCTTGTGGAGAAACTCACCTGGAAAACTGCTGCATGCCCATGGAATGGGAGCTCTGGTGATACATTTCCCAGAGTGAACCCACGGACCCCACACTCTAAACCCATTGACTCCAGGGCCTCCATGGTGGTATAGCGGGTTAAGCGCAGCACTGAAAAGCTGTCCACAACCTCTGCAGTGTGGGTTTTATTCCCAGCTAGCCACAGAGATACCCACATGGCGCAGCAGACCTCTCCTGATTCGCCCACTGCTCCCCTCAGCAGTGTATTTCCGTCCATCTGCTTGTTCTGCTCCCCACTGTGTCTCTGGTGAATGCTCTCACCCTCCCATGCTTTTGACCAGTACCCCAGTTCTTGTATAAAAATAAATAAATCTTTAAAAAATATAAACCCACTGACTCCAAAAACGACATCAGTGGTATGGTGGCAGATATTTAATGTATTGAAAAAACATGTTTGGGTCTTACCAGTGTGGCAGGGGTTATGGCTCAGCACTATCGAGCTATCCATGGCCTGAGTTCCATTCCCGGCCAGGGAGCTACTCACATGCTGCAATAGACCTCTCTGCCTTGCCCGCTGCTCCCCTCAACAGTATATTTCAGTACATTTGCCTGTTCTGTTCCCCACTCTGGTGAATCCTCTTACCCTGCTCACCTTTGGCCTACACCCTAGTTTATCTATGTAAGTAAATAAAGTAAGTCTGTACCATGTGTGTAGCTCCCTGGCCTGGGATTGTACTCTTGCTGCAGTGGCTGTGGATGGCTTCATAGGTTGCATCTTAATCCCTTGCACCACCAGGGAGGCCCTCAAGGAAAAGCATTTAAACCCAGAGTGTATTGATAGTTGCTCTTGTTTACCCATATTGTTAAATTTACATGTTTCTAAATATGTAACAGATATTTTAACAGATTTAAACATATATTAACTAACAAATTTAGAGATTTAGAGATTTAAATACATATGGACAGTAGTACTGATTTTTTGCATCCCTTAATGTGTGCACTGTGCAGACCACTTTAGAAATATTAAATGTATTAAGACTTTTGCTTTCCTCTGCAAACACTAGAACTACTGAGACATAGATATTGGCTGTTTATACAATTATCCAAAGATTATACAGTAAAGTTAGAAAAGGATTTTAAAAGTAAAATGTATAAGAAGCACAGTTAATTAAAGTCCTGTGTGACAGTGAGCAGATTTCTTAGCCTTTTAAGCTTCAATTTCTGTAATTTGGCAATAGGGTTGATAATATTTGTAAATTAATTAGGGCAAAGGTGAAATGACTCATTTAAAAACTATCAGGGCCTCCCCTGGTGGCGCAGCGGTTGAGCACTGGGCTGCAAAGCTGCCCGAAGGCTCTGCAGTGCCAGTTCAATCCCGGGCCACCAGCAAGGGTCCCACGTGGCGCAGCAGACCTCTTCTGCTGCGCCTGCTGCTCCCCTCAGTAGTGTATTCCGTCAGTCTGCCTGCTCCTGGCTCTGGCTCTGGTGAATTCTGTCACCCTCCCACACTTCTGACTGTACCCAGTGCATGTATAAATAAATAAATAAATCTTAAAAAAAAAAAAACTATCAAATTTTAGAATCTAGGGCCTCCCTGGTGGCACAAGGGGTTAAGTCTTAGCAGTATGAAGCTGTCTGTAGCCACTGCAGCACTAATTCCATGCCTGGCCAGGGAGCTGACCCATATGCTGCAGCAGACTTCTCCTGTCTCCCCATCTGTTCTCCTTAACAGTATTTTAGTACATCTGCCTGTTCCGTTCACCACTCTGGTGAATCCTCTCACCTTGCTCACCTTTGGCCTATACCCCAGTTTATCTATGTAAGGCAAGAAAATAAATCTTCAAAAAAAATTTAAAAATGTTGAGGTTGGTTATAAAGACTATTTGATGATACACTTTTTCCTTATTCGCTCATCCTTAAAAAGTTGTAATGAAGTTTTAAATATGTGTATTAGGAGGATGACATTTTCAGAAAAGCTAATATTTCCTTAGTTTCCAAATCTTGAAGGACGAATTTGGGATACACACAAAGAAAAACACTATAAAATTAGTTCTTGTTCACCACTAAAATGTGAGGAATAACCTGCAGGGTATAATTCTTTTTTTTAATATTAATATATTTTACATCATTGTTCAATTTTTAACAATATTTGCTTCCCCTCACCCCCTCAGGTGTAGTCCCCATAGTTTCTTCACAAATGTATCCGTGCACCATCATCTGAGTCCCTGTGTTCCCTCCTCCTCCCCTGCAGTGTGGCTCTGATTTATAATTGTCCGTTTTTGCTTTGTTGTGTTTTGTACTGTTAGTATTTTTTTTTACACTGATGCAATTTCACTGCTAGGGGTCTACCCAAAGGACACAAAAACATTGATTCAAAAGAGCACCTGTACACCTATGTTTATTGCACCACTATTTACAATAGGTAAAAATTGGAAACAACGCAAATGCCCCAAAATAGATGACTGGATCAAGACATGTATACAATGGAGTATTACTCAGCAATCAAAAAATATAAACTCATGCTATTCGCAGCGATGTGGATGGAACTAGAAGGAATTATGGTCAGTGAAATAAGCGAGAAGGAAAGAGAAAAATACTGCATGGTTTCAGTTATGGCAGGAATATAGGGGAACCAAATAATAGTATAATTATTGTATACATATTCAGTCGTTCTCAACTTTAGATTTTAAAGAATTACATGGTTTGGTAGTTGGTCTAGGATAATCCTTTTTCCCCTCTCTTGTTACCCATAAGCCCATTTAGACCCCTTTCATTTTTTTCAGGTTTTTTTGTTTTTTTTTGTTTTTTTTTTTTAAGGAAAGGAGACAATGGGGATTGCTAAATCTTCTCAGAACACTGGAGTGAGAAAACACATTTTTTGCTGGACATCTGTGGGCCTGCAAACAACCCCAAAAAGACCGAAGGGCTGGAACCACAGCGGTGAGGCCATAGGTTTTTAGGGCACGGGAGCCAGGAAAAGAACTGGGGAGACATTTGTCTCTAAGTGGGGTGGTCTGGGGCCCTACTGGTTTTTACCGCCGCCGAGGAGGCTGAGGCGCGTGTGCGGCCTGGGGCGGGGCTGGGCGGGGGAGTTAAGGAGGAAAGAACGTTACAGAGAGCCCACGCAGCGAAACCACGGGGTTCCCCAGTCTTAGCGCCTGAGTGGGTTGGGCACGACACGCCGCGGGACCCGCCGGGCAGAGGAAGGGGTCCATCTACCCTTCCGCATTTTCCTGGGTCTCTCTCCGGGGCGGTGACGTGACGTGCTGACGGCGGGCCTGTGCCGGGGAGCTGGGCCGCTTTTTGTCAGGTTGGAGCTCTGCCCCTCCTCCCTCCCTCCGCCCGCCCTACGAGCCGGAGCCGGCCCAGTGCTCTAGAGAAAGGCGGCCTGCAGCACCCGCCACGATTGGCAACGGCCTGCATCCTGGTCTGGTGAGTTCCGGGCGCCGCCGCGGCCGCAGGGCCTAGCGCGAGTGTGGCGGCCTAGTTGGCAGCCCGCGAGGCGCCCTTCCGCGCTAGGCCAAGCGGTTGTGGCGCTCGGCGCGGAGCAGGCCCAAGGGAGGCCGCAGTAGGCCTGGGGAGGAGTTGAGCTCACAGTGACGGCGGACGCGCGCTCCGTGAGTGGTGGGGGTAGCGACAGTCGTCTGGTGGCCAGGAATACAGCTGTAGGTTTTCGGCTTGGCTCTGTAAGCAGCCTGGCGCAGCGCGGGACTAGGTCTGACAAGGAGACTAAATCTTCCGCCGTGAGGTGAAAACTTAGGCCGGCCAGGCCAATTTTCGCTATGTAAATATTGGCGAGGGGCGGAGGGGGGGCAAGATGGCGGCGGATTTACGCCTGCTTCAGGGGTCGCTTGGGAGGGGGAGCCGCCATGTTGAGCCGGCATTTGGAAGGAAACTAACGCTACAGTAAAGTGGTGGGTACTGGGGGTACCGGGATTTGCCCGGCGGCAGCGGCGGCTTCGTTTTGGGCGCCGGCTCTGCCTCCGACTTTGGCCCAAGTATCTGGTACAGGAAGTACCCCATTGTGGCGTACCCGTGCGGACTTGTGTTGACCCCTCACGGCTGCCATTCTCTCTCCGCCATGATTGATTAGCGGGCTCTAGAGGCTGGGCCGCAGCGCCACCTTTCGGAACTGTCATCTGCTGTTTCGGTTGCATTTCACCTGGGCTGCTGCAGTGCTTCCCGCCACGTGCAGTTGGCTGTTCTGGCACTTAAGCTTACCAAGGCAAATGGAACCCCAATATATTTAATTTTTTTTTTTTTAAGTAAAACTCTGTGTTAGAGTATCCTCGCTTGGGTGGTTTTCTGTTGTCTTAACCGAGTATTGGAATAATTAAGATTGGTTATATCTGGAAAAACATGCTCACCGCACTTATCCTCTCGGTAAAGTATGCATTTGCAAACTCGGAAGCAGAGGACAACAATTTCATGATTTTTCCTTATTTTGGAAAATTTTCTTGAAAATTTGAATGTGAATGATTATCTGTTATAACTTACTATTAAGAAATGTAACGGTTTTCTTGCTGAAATACAGTCAGCTGTGATGTATGATTCCCGGCTTATGTATCCTTGTTGGTCTTTTACGTTTCTATTACTTGAAAAGTGTAACGTATAGCTCAATTCTTTAGACCACTTTAGATTGAGTAATATTTAACTTTGTGATGCCGGAATTGTCAGGCCTAGTCTCCCAGCCGGGATCGAATCCCAGGCTGCAGGGCAGCGCTGAGCCCCAGCCGCTAGACCCCCACGGGTGGGTGTCTCACGAAGCCGCAGCAGGAACTTCGCAGACGCTCAGGCAAGCAAGCGAGAAGAGGCAGTTTGTTTAGAGAAAGAAAAAGTTTATTGAGGAGAAAAAGAGCAGAAATAAAGTGGGACTCCCAGGCCAGGGAAGGGGCAAGGAAGCCAAAGTGGAGTCGTGTCTCAGGGAATATATACCTTTTTTCCCTCATTATTCTAAAGCTCCACCAGTCTCTCTGTGATTGGTTAGTTCTGGCTGTCTCACTTAATTTGCTGCTGAGTGGGGATCTTCACATTCCTTATCTAACAGCTTTCTCTTTCCCCATTTGTTGCATCTTTAAATTTATGGCCCAGTCTTCTGGATGGGCCTCCCTGCATTGAAGTTAAACAGCTGCCCTTCTAATGTGACCATAAATTAAACCACTCTCCATTTCTCCAATCTCTGCCTCCCTTTACCACCTGAAGGAAACCAGGACCAGCATTAACATTGTTGTCCTTGGTCCTGGCATGTTTGTTTTTCCTAATGGAATGGGTTACTTTCCCTTGGTTGTCCTTATCTCTGAAGCCTCCCTAAATTTTTCAGAGGTCCTTCCTGCACTATCCCTAAAACTGCCTAATAATCCTAGCTTGCCCTGTGTCATTTGCAGGTAAACTCAGTTCTCTGAGTGATGCAATATGCTAAGATTGAAATAGCTTTTAAAATGCATACGCTGGCTGTGAGAAGTTCAGTGCTGCGGTTTATAAGAAAAAGATGTCCCTGCGCCACAGGAAAGGCTTCCTGGAGGAGATGGCGTTTGAGGGGAGTCACTTAAAAGAAGGCGGGACTTTTTATATAGGGGTGGAAAGTTGGAAAGCGCCTTGTACGGGTGAACACGCTTTAGAATACAGTAGATATTTAAGGTTTGATTAGAGTAAATCATATGGATAGAGAAGTAGTGCAATTTGTGTTACAAAAGATTGATTGTGAAAGTAGGAGAGTGTCTGAGTTCTTCATATTCATTTAGCTGTTTCAACTGCAGGTTCAACGTGGAAAAAGGTTTATCAGTTTTTTCTGTAGTAAAAAAAGATCAATGAGCTTTCTTAGCAGTTTCCTTTTTTTTTTTAAAGATTTTTTTTATTTATGCATACAGGAGCTGGGGTATAGGCCAGAGGTTGGGGGAGGGGTGAGAGGATTCCCCAGAGACAGAGTGGGGAACAGAACAGGCAGACTGACTGAAACACACTGCTGAGGGGAGCAGCGGGCCAGTCAGGAGACTTCTGCTGCTCCGTGTGGGTAGCTGCCTGGCCAGGGATTGAACTTTTGCTACAGTAGCTTCGAGCAGTGTCATAGGTTGTACCTGGTGCTTCCTTGGGGGCCCCAATAATAACATCTTTAAGGAATACAGGAGTCGCACTCATTACTGGCTCTTTTGTGTTTTCTTTGTAGTTGTATTTCTATGAAAATGATACTCCTTTTTTAATGACACCAAAAAGAAGGAAGGCTTTAAGTGGTGATTCCTGGATATTTAGGATCGATGTGGCATTCTGATTGTCCTATAATTTTCTTTCTTCATCAGTTCATTTTACTTATTTTGCTTACAAGGTTATGTTGAACTAAGAGTGTTGGGAATAGTTTTTCATCAAATAGGTTGTTCATTAAAATTGAATTGTATTTTTCCTGGAAGTTACAATTCATTTATTAACTTGTACGTGTGGGCCTCCCCTGGTGGCCCAGCGGTTGAGCGCTGGGTTGCTAGGCCCACAGCCTCTGCAGCGCCAGTTCAATCCCCGGCCACTGGCGAGGGTCCCACCAAAAAAAAAAAAAAAAAAAAAAAAAAACACCAAAAAGGTATGTGGTCTCTTTTTATGAGTAGATCTTTGAGATTATTGACTTGCAGTAGGTCTTTTGATTTTTCTTCTTGAGTCTCTTTTTATTACTTGGACTTAAAGATTTTCTATAAAAAGGTGCATTTACAAATATACAGGTTTTTCTAACAACTTGAAAACTTTTTTTTTTTTTAAAGATTTGAAGAGGTCTGTAGGCCATATGGATAGCTCTCTGGCTGGCTGGGGATGGAACTCATGCAGCTGAGGCTGCAGATCACTGCACAGTGCTTTTGTTCAACCCCTTGCACCACCAGGGATGCCCCTTGAAAACATTTTAATAATTTTTTAAGTAAATTTTAGTTGAATGTTGTGATTCCTCGCATGAAGACTTGTTTTTTGTATTCATTATAAATATGTTGTGGTTTATGTAAATACTGTTTTTAGTACCTATGAATTGAGGAAGATTTTCTCATTTTTTAATTTATGAATTTGTTTGTTTAGCTGTATTTTTGGTACATAGGTTCAGGACTAACAGAAAATAATATTAATATTAGATCATACTGACCTTGTTTCTTTCTAACATTATGTTCTGTTAGTCCTGAGCCTATGTATCAATAATACAGCTAAAGAAACAAATTCATAAACTTAAAAATAGGAAAATCTTCCTTAATTCATAGGTACAAAAAAGAGTATTTACATAAACCACAACGAATATAACCAAAGTGAAGAAGCATACCTTGTGCAAAAAATGAAAAATGATGTAAGAATTACATAAAATATCTTTAAAAAATAAAAAAGAAAAAAATGTTTTAGCCTTAAGGTTTCTTATCATGTCTTTCTTCTCTAGTAACATAGCTGTTAATTTGACCTTTGTCTCCATATTTTGTGTTAGAACAAAGTAAAACTAGCATGTAAAGTTTAAAGAACTCATTGTAAGTAGTGTGGAAGGAACTCCGGTAAGAGATTTTCTCTTAATTTGTCTTCAATTAAAAAAAAAAAGAACTAAATCTTTTGCTGCTGCTACATTTTCTAAATTTTCTACTACCATGTACTTTATTCATATTCTCTTTCCCTTGTTATACGGAATTAATTTATCTCCATCTTTTTGGTTCTTGAGGGATTACTTTTACTTCTGTACTATCAGGTTTTTTTTTTTTTAATGTCAGGCTTGCTTAACTTGATTTCAGCAGTGAAAGGTACACAGTATCTTTACTTTCATTTAATATCCACTTCATTTCATTTCAAGTTCAGGTTTGGAAGCCAGTAAAAAGGAATGCTAAAATTCACTATGCCAGATAATAACATTGGAGAAGAGGTGGTTAAGAAAAAAATGAGTAATATTTACTTATGATGTAAATAATTAAAAATTAAAATATTAGAGAACTAGATAAATACAA